AAACCACTACATGAGGCATCATACTGTTTTATAATATTAACTGATTGAATCTAAGTGAATCTGGATGCAAGTATAGCAAGTAGTACAGACAAAGGAACTAAAATTGGACGATGCCATAATTTAGTGTTGTTAACAAACATAAAATTGGTAAAATTATTGTTGAACCGCTTGCTCCTACTTGCTATACTTGCTGCATTTCTTGTTATTTGCACTACTCACCACCACAGCAACCTATTGCAAGTGGTTGCAAGTATTTTAATTGGCACCTACTGCTATTATTCGTATTTTAACTTGCATCTACTGCCCTATTATTCGCAGCCACTTGCTGTTGCAGCCACCTGCTGCATAACCATTTGCAACCACCATTTACTGCAGCTACCTGCTGTCCAACCACTTACAATCACCTGCTACGTAACCACTTGCTACTGTTGCTACCACTTACAATCACCTGTTACGTAATCATCGGTACTGTGCGTGTAACCACTTGCTGCGTAACCACTTGCAGCTACTTGCTACCACTGCAATCATAAGTAATTTTTAGCAAATGGTTAGTTACAGTAGCGAGTGGTTTCTTATATTTATTGCAAATTATAAAACATTTTCTCAAGTTTATTCATCTTTTAAAAAAATGGAATGCACTTAGTTAAATGACTCAATTGATAAGAAAAACAAGTATAAATTTATTCTTTCTGAGAGTCTCAGGTAATCTAAAGTGTCTTAAAATAATCAATTGATATGCAGCATACTAGCATTACCAAATCCAAATATTTATGCACCAATTAAAACATTAATTTTTATAAAATTACAAAATGCAGCGAAAAAAAAAAGACGTAACACTAAATCGAAAAGTACTAAAAAGCACTGAAAATAATAGTATGAAATAGGACTGATAATCACAGAGACAATCATACTGACGAGAGTACCTTTGTCTCCAAAATATTCACCTGCAAAAAATCTTCCCATGGTTTCTCCCATACCTCCAATGTCATCACCTGAAAAAGATTAGAAAAATAGTTAATACATAATTAAAATGTAAAATAAATGCTAAATATATGTTTTGCAATAACTGATCCATTGCAAAATCTACTACACTCAAATTAATTAAAAGAAATAATTTAATGCCTTGTGCAAGTCTCACATAAGTACCTTTTGGCAAGTGCTTACATCCTCAAAAGTGAATTTTACTTTCAAGTTCGTATTTCAAACTATTGTCATCACAGTTTGAATGAGAACATTGATCTAAGAATGTTCTACTCTGCCATGCCATATAACACAGCGCTTCGAATATATTTCTTCTCTTTCAATTTTACATAGTGAAAGCCCAAAACATAAAGCATTAGAGAAAAAATATCATTAAGATTAGATTCATCTAATTCAGGTCGATTGGTTCATTTCCGAATCCAAATGTTACTTACAGTCAAATTATTTCAATGTCAACATTTTCACTTTATCTTGAAATTACATGCAACAAACCTGATCCGGATGTCCTTCCAATTTTTTACATGTTTTCAAGTTAACTTGCTCACTTGCACTCTGAAAATTTAACTTTTCAAGAGACATGCAAAGTGCTCTAAATGAATATTTCAAGTTTCATTACTTTGTTTTCAAAGAAATTGTTCTTCTTTTTTGCTTCTCCTTTTTCCTCACCACTTTCTCTATTTTCCTATGGCAAAATGTCACCTTCAGTCATTTCTCATTAGGATTCAGGAAAGCTAAAGAATATTATAAATTCCGAAATTACCACTAGAAGCATACTTTTTTGCATTCTGATCGAGCAACCTGTACTTCCATCTTATATTTCACACCGGCGACAACTTGAGATGAAACTTTTAGCAATTTGATTGGCATCAAATGGTACTCATCGTTTGATTGTTGATTTACTTTAGTTAAAACATTTGGCAATAGTTCCTATGCAAATAGAAAAACATAATTCTTATAATTCGTACAGATATGTCAAATACCCCAGAACAAAAATTTAACAGGAATTGGTAAAGACATATATACATGACGGATAAATTAGACGTAGGAACGTGAACGTGAAGTAAAAGATGTAATTGACTTATGACATTTAAATGTTTATAAATTTAAAGCAAAATATTTACTTAAAAAAATGATAGAGTGTTTGTGTAGGGAAAAAAAATGAAAAAAGCATGAATAAAAAGAGGAAATAACCTGTATTTCATTGTCATCCGGACTGCATTCTTGCCATCCTCCTATTAATACCTGCTGACCAATTTGTATGTCTGTCTTGGATTCTATATCACTGGCTCTTTGCAAAAAGACTAATGCTATCGCAATAAACAATAATAGAAGTACCGCCAATGATCCATCTCTTATTGACAACATCAAATTATTCGGTTCGTTTTTTGGCTTTGTTTACTCAGTGGTCTAGATGGAAATTTTTTATAGAAGGGAAAAAAAAATAAATTGTTTCTGGATTATATACTATCCGGAATGTATTTCACCGAGTGATATGTTTTTTCCGGAATATTTTTGCATTTATTCAAATAATATTCTAAGAGAATAATTATTTTAAGCTTAATTCATGTGAAATGTATTTATTATGCGATGTGTCGTAAAAAAAATTAAACAACAACACTTTACGAATTACAATTGGGTGATTTGTAAATAATAAAAAAATCAAAAAATTGATTAATTTGACAATTTTTCAATTGTTTATTGAATAATTAAATATTCACATAAATGCATGCAAACATACATAATCACGAAATGCGGAATAATAGAATCATATTTAGAAATAAAATCTGAAAAGTGTTCGGTGATATTGTTCAGATCACAAAACAAAAATGACACGTTTCTAGGTCGATTGTCAGACTAACTGCTTATCACTAATCTTTTTTATTCCATCTTTCTCGATTCAAATGTGGTGAGTTCTTAAGTTATTGAAGAATTCGACGTTTTCCGGTATGAAATGAATCAAAAGAAGGGATGAAATTTACGGAAATTTACACTTCGAATTTTTAAAGTCGACATAGTTTTTTACTACTAACACTACTGTTACTCAGATAGTTATACATCAATTTAATAACATCATTGCCATTTAAATGCTAACCGCATAAAACAGTGAACTTTTTAAGCCTAAAATCTAAAATCTCTTATTGATTATTTCATAACTTTTGGATAAGTAAAATATTGAGTAAATTGATTATTTTCATAACTTTTGGATAAAATATAGTGTTTGCAAGATGAACTGTTGCATGCCTAAAGTAAGTTCTGAAATAAAACTCAAAATATTTTTTACTCAGAATCATAGTATTAAATAAAACAAAATGAAAAAAAAAAAAAAAAAATGTTACTAAAATTCTTTGAAAATATTACTATAATGCTAATTTACAGATACATACATAGCTAAATAAATTGAAAATGGAAATCAGTTCAGTAAAATTTTTAAGTTTAAAAATACCACCATAATAAATAGTTGTTGTCTCAAACATTTCCATTCTCTTTCACATATATTTTCAGAAGGAAAATAACGCTATTAATGCTTTTAGAATCGAAATTTCACCTAACCGAAAGTCCGAATGTTTGGCCATCTTTCATAGTCTATCATAATTTAATTAGCAAATGAATGTTTTATCTCTCTAAAATTATAGTTGAGCCAATAATACCTGATACTACAAAAGTAACGCAGTTTTGACGAGAAATTTCCCAGACTCGATGGACCAACTTTGGATTAAACATCAATAAACAAAGCCTAAATTAAGTAAAGACAAGAAAATGATGGCAATACTTCACAAAATTTTTTTTTTCTCAAAAAAAGAGAAACTATATAATACTTGTTTTAGAAAAAAAAAGTTTTCGTGCTTTACAAAAAATAAGAGCATATTTGTGAAAAAGCATTCAGAAGGAATATAAAAATTTTTCAAAAAAAAGAACTCCAGTATTTTAAACTTTTTTGTAAAGCACGAAAACACTTATAGCATTGATAATTGCAATGAACCGATGGAATTAGTTACTTATAAACGTGTAATTAAATAAATTAGAATTGAAAAGATTAGTATGAAGACAATCATAGCAGATTACATCAAAAATGATCTTTCTAACACAAAATGATCCAACTTTCTCTCTATCGTATAGTTTATTAAATTAAAATGAGCATGGCAAACTGAAATTATTCAGCTGCTCACACAATTAAACGAAAATTTTATCCAATCTTTTTCAGTTTGAAAAGCTTGCATGAAATATTTGTGGGCTAATCAATTTTTTTTAAAACTAAAATTCGACGCAATCTAATAAAAAAAAAATGATATTTCAGGCCATTGATTTGCAACTAAACTTTCTAGGCATTTATTTGTCCATATGTTAAAAATAAAAGATCAAAGTCCTCGTGTTCTCAAAAACTTCAAAATTTATCAGCAGTAGAAAAAAGTTAGTACAACATTTAATAGTGACAGACTTATTTATGATTTCAGTGTAATTAAATTTTTTAGAATTAATTTATTAACTTCAGAATAATAAAAACGTAGCAAAATGAAAATGTCATTTAAAAAGGTATTTTGTTATTCGAATAACTCTATCCATATCACTTCTATTGAAATCAATTTTCAGTTGACAAAATTTAATAGCAATAAGCTTATTGTACTGATATTTCTTCTCAAAGCGAAGTTTTAGATTTGTTAGTTGTGTAAACGACACATCTCTTTTGCTTTATTCCATAATTAATTGAAAAAAAAAAAAAAAAAATTACGTGAAGCAGATAGGAAATAAGAAAAAAAAACAAACAGTGAGAGCACAATGTTAAAACCTTCCAACGGGCGCTCATGTGAATAAGAAATCTCAAGGCTTCCTTTGTCTGGCGGAAATGTAATAAAAGAAAAACACAGGTGAATAATGAATGGTAAATATAGCATCAGACTTTTTCACCCACATATATGAATTCTACAACAAAAGTTCGAGTTTATAATTTTGAGTTTAAAATCAGTTCAAGTTTAAAATCAGAATGAAAATGCTAATTTACCTCATAGACATATCAAATTGATAAGCTTAATAAGTAAGGCTTAGGAAAAAATATGCAGTCAACAAGAATGACAGAATTTTCTTGTGGAAATAATAATGAACATTTCAAATCAAATTTTGAGTTCTTATGCACTGAGCTGCAGTTACAGGCGGTAATATCTTTTGCAGAAAGCGACACAGTTCAGAATATTCCATAACACGACTGTTTCAAAGAGATATGAAAACATCGAATACATATGGAAAGCTATAAAAATGTTGGATTAAAAGAAATCATTCAAAGCAAGCTTCAATTAATTTAAAGTTTTAAAAATTGAAAATTAAACAGTCTTCCGAAAATTCAATACAATTATTTATTACTATAATCTGTACAATTATTATTAATAATAAAATTTTCGTAAAATCGTAAAATTTGACTTATTCTTTGACTCGATACAATTTGTAGTTTTTGACACTTCTGGTTCGTCTCTCTAAACGTTCCTTCCATTTATTTTTTACGTTCTCGGAACCATCTATTTCCATAGGACAAAGCATAGTTATTGACCGATCAAACTGTTTTCCATTAAGTATTTGTATTGCTGCACTTTTTATTCTTCTATCCTATTCTCGGTTAATTTTTACTATCTTTGCTAATTTACACATACGACGAGGGTTCATTTAATAAAACTATTTCATTTTCACGTGAAATTCCTTTTTTTTTTTTTTTTTTTACGAGATTTTTTTTTACCAATCTACGAGAGATTAGTTCTTTTTGTCTATGTTCTTCTCTAAGATATGTAAGGTATTCTTTTCACAAATTCCAAAAAAACTCTAATGTGATAAGAGTACTGGTCCACTATTTGACTAGTTTGTCCTTAATCCTTAATGTATAAGAAGCATATTCTCTTAATTAATAATATCATAATTGGTTAGCATAGGACTACCGAAGTTACGTAAAGCACTAATGCGTCAGTGGCCCAGCGGCGGTATGCAATGAGACTATTTATATTCTCTTAGCGCATACCCAAATGTAGCATAGGAGTAGATTACTTTTCCAAAACTTGTTCAGAATTGAATTAATTTCCGGTAAGGAATTATGTTCCGTAGCCAGGATTATAATATATATTAATGAAGCAATAGGTGAAATGAAATCGATTGAGCCTATGACTCTATTCATCAAAGCCTATGTAAGTTAATGCTCGGATATTAAGCATTCCTTATCTTTGCTATTAGCGTTATCAATTCTCTTTCTTTTAAAAGTTTTCTTTCTATTTTCTTCCATATCATGCCCTTTGCTGCCAAAAAATAAGCGTTTTTTTTTTTTTTCATAATAATCTTGAATAAAAGTTGGAAATGATGGCGTTATCGCTTAGGACTAGTTTCGTTAAGCAATTAATTTTCGAAAAATATGCAAAAAATTTTCGGCGGATAAGTTTTCTGTCGTTTCAAGATGTACTGCTCTGGTAGTAAAACATGTAAAAAGAGCGACCATCTTTTAACTAGATTTAATTAGAAGAGGACTCAAGTAATCTAAACCAACTTGTTCGAAGGTTTTATTCTGGTTTCCGGTAGATTTGGCATTGCTGGCAACTGTTCTAAAAAGCATCAAAATTATAAAGATACAATTCGCTTCACTGCAATCCTTAATTTCAGTATTAAAACGAAGCTTTTTTTCAGAGAAAGTATATGAAATATATTTTGGAAATTTTTATACTCAAATTAACAATTTTATGGATTAAATCAACGAAAATTTTGAAGTTACTATTCTTTGTTTTCTTTACTCATGGCATTCAATATTGAAAATATGCAAAAAATTGGAACTGAAAAATTGATCAAAATTAACCAATTTCATTTTGCAATTTATTTCTAGTTGAAGCATAGTCCTGTCATCCGTTAGAGCAAGCAATAGCTTCTCGGATATTTCTATTTCTAGGTTCCTGATTATTTGAGTTCAGATTAACGTAAAAGAAGGAAGTGAAATGTAAGATGTTATGTAAATACGAGAATGGAAGATTTTTCTAAAAAAAAGAATTTAAAATAAGGTTTGAGATGAGAACACTTTTTAATAACAAATAACAGTTGAAATCAGTAATCAAATTGAATTTATTTGTTACTAAGAAATGTAGCGCTACTGAGTTATCCAGTCGTATTCTTTATTAAAGATGAACATTTTGCTGTCCAAATAAATCTCTTTACTTTGTTTTTTTATCAGATTAAATTGGATAATTCTTAAGAAATTAATAAAAATAAAAAAAAATGTAGATGTCTGCACTTCATGAATCGGTTGGATATGATTTGGAATATGCTCGAAGGTTATTTCAATTTTTTTTACCTTTGTTTGACAAGCCTTTCTCATTTGGATAAATTTTTCCTTTACATCTTCAATTTGTCTATCCTGAAATCAGAAGTTCATAAACTTTTTCATCGTCTTTTTGTTTTTTTGGAATAGATTTTTAGTATCTTAAATGTTTGCTCATTAGGCATTAAATGATAGATGAATTATTCATTTTTAAAAAGTTTGCTAAATCGTCTATTCATTGACTGTGGCAATTTGGTATAATTGGTCAAAAATACTTCAGGTGGATTTCAGTTGATTGCATTATATATCATTTTTAGTTATTAACTTATTCAATCATTGATAGCGAATAGTTCATTATTCGAATAAATAAAGAAATTGACTGTAAGGTAGCAAATTATTCTGAATAAAATGATTACCATTAAATATATTTGAAAATCAAATTCAGAAACAAGCAAAGTGAATTCCGCATTATGCGGGTATTCAATATAAGAAAGTGGATTAAAGATGAATCATTAAAAGCATTTTCTTATACGCAGTTCAGCAAGTGATTTGTTTTACCTTCCATGTGCTCATTTGGATGATGAATTCCTATATTTAACATAAATCGACTTGGACAATGTTAAATCAAGGTTTGAATTTGTCAAAATGATCCTGACTTATAAACAACTGTTAATATCTTCCTTCCACTATTTTGCAAGTCATTTGAATTTATTTAAATTTCAATTAAAAAAAAAAAAAAAAAACGAAAAGGACGTATATTAAAAATGTATAAATTACATCTTGTCACATCTTTTAGGAAAAAATTGAAGCCTGTCCTTAAGTTTAACTGTCTGGAATTGCAGATAATTCCAGTCCAAGCATACCGTGTGAAGCCATTAGGCAACCCTATCGGTTACACAGCTATTAGATGTCAAACTGATGGTTTTCCGTTCAGCATTTAAGTTATACCAACCACACATTGTGCAACGTTGCTGATTACTGTCAGTAAATGATAGGATCATTACCATCGCCTTTTTTCTTCATATTTTCATTGCAATTGGCATTTGAAAAGTTTAAAAGTATTGGAAATCATCAATAAGAATTCATTTGACAGCTATCTACATCACATGGTGTTAAATATGAAAATCGTAAAAAAAATTTAATAACCTAATTTGCACACAACACAAAGCAAATTTAAAGTTGAAACCATTTAGCATTTATAAATCAACATTACCAATTATAAGAGATGCAGCAATGTAATTTTCCATTCTTTCCAATATTCCCAAAAATTTGAAAATGTGGAAAAATTGAAGCGAAATATAATAAAATTACAAAAAGTGTCATAACTGCTTTGCATAAATTATTTATAACAATAAAATACAGAAGCTGAAAAGAAATGATTCAGTATAAAGGATTAAGCAGTAGTGCTATTATCATTTTATTATACATTATTATATATTCTATTATTATTGCTATACATACGTTATTATACGTAGACGTAAGTTATCAATACACGTAGTTTGCCACCCCCATCTGAATGAGAACTTATACATGCGATTATCGAACAATATCTAACAGAATTGATCGGTTGGCCTCTGTCACACTCTCCTACAATTTTCATTCAGTAGTTTTATTTCATTCATTTCGACAGAAGACGACAGAAGATTACCTCTTTTCAAACTTTTGAGTTATGACAGGGATTTTGGGATTAGATGATAAATTTGTCAATAAACTAGTATATATTTAGAAAAGCATTTACTTGAAGAAATATCTCCTTTGCGCATTTGTCAAATAGCAGCGACATTATTCTTTAGAAGCAACCGTCAATAAATTTGAATGTTTTTTAGAATTGGCAACAAATTATTCTCATTGACATGCATTTCATCTATTTATTCTTCTTTGTCTTCCAATTGAGCAATATTCGAAACACAGTAAGTCCACATAAAGTTAAAAAAAAAACAACATAACACCACAATACCATCGGCATTTAAATTTTTCACAGTGATTTTTCATTGATAATTTCATATCATTTAAGGTAGCGCAAACGGAACAAACAGAACCGTTGGATTTATCAATATCAAAAGTGAAAGAGGAAGGAAATAAATCGCAAGGCTTATCAGTGAAAAGAGTGAGTGATGAACGAATTAAACCGCGACGACTTGTTCCAATCGAAACACTGACGGAAGTAATTGAACCAGAAAAAGAAAGCACAGGAAAGAAACGGCGTTGTGATATATGTCAAAAGGAAATAACACATATGAAAAAACATGTGATGACTCATACTGGTAAAAAGCCGTATAGTTGTCCAGTATGCAAGAGAAATTTCACTCAATTCGGGCATAATCAAAAACATATGATGACTCATACTGGTGAAAAGCTGTACAGTTGTTCGATATGCAAAAAGAATTTCAGTCGGTCCGACAGTATGAAAGCACATATGGTGATTCATACCGGTGAAAAGCCTTACTGTTGTTCGATATGCAAAAAGAATTTCAGTCGATCCGACAGTATGAAAGCACATATGGTGATTCATACCGGTGAGAAGCCGTACAGTTGTTCCATATGCAAAAAGAATTTCGGTGATCTCTGTAATATGAAAAGGCATATGACGACTCATACTGGTGAAAAGCCGTACAGTTGTTCCATATGCAAAAAGAATTTCACTCAGTCCAGCAGTATGAAAGCACATATGGTGGTTCATACTGGTGAGAAGTCGTACAGTTGTTCCATATGCAAAAAGAATTTCACTCAGTCCAGCAGTATGAAAGCACATATGGTGGTTCATACTGGTGAGAAGCCGTACAGTTGTTCCATATGCAAAAAGAATTTCGGTGATCTCTGTAATATGAAAAGGCATATGACGACTCATACTGGTGAAAAGCCGTACAGTTGTTCCATATGCAAAAAGAATTTCACTCAGTCCAGCAGTATGAAAGCACATATGGTGGTTCATACTGGTGAGAAGTCGTACAGTTGTTCCATATGCAAAAAGAATTTCACTCAGTCCAGCAGTATGAAAGCACATATGGTGGTTCATACTGGTGAGAAGCCTTACAGTTGTTCCATATGCAAAAAGAATTTCACTCAGTCCAGCAGTATGAAAGCACATATGGTGGTTCATACTGGTGAAAAGCCGTACAGTTGTTCGATGTGCAAAAAGAATTTCACTCGGTCTGACAGTATGAAAAAACATATGATGATTCATACTGGTGAAAAACCGTATAGTTGTCCGATATGCAGGAAAGGTTTCATGCATAAACACCATTTGCAGACTCACATGGTAACTCATCAAATGAATAATAGACTTATCACTGTATGATAAGCAGTAAAGATTTTCAGGCTAAATGCAGATTGAAATTGCATATGAAGAATCATTAAAGCTTGAGCACTTTAAACGGATGAAATGCACTCTGCTAATTCTGTTATTGTTGAATATTTACTAATTTTTTATGACAAATTATTATTTGTTCTTTGATCGTATATGCATACTAATATCTTTTTCTTCTTTGTTATTCTTGCAAATATGTTTTTTAATGTTAACTTCATCTAATGGTTTCATTTGCATGCTATGCACGAAAAATTTGAATAATAGTATCGCTATGACTACATTAGTAATGAAATGGAATTGCTCATATGTATTCCTCCGATTATTGAATTCGACTATTGAATAAATGAAATGAAAATAAATTTTTGGGAACGAATCTTCTTAATCACAACATATCATTTTATAAATTTGTTTAATTATGCGATCTACGACAGAGCGTCAAACATATATCAGAGAGTGACTAAATATTTATTCGGCATTCAACAAAGTATTACAGATGAAAACCAGCAAGAGATTTGAAGAGGCACATACAATATCACAACTGTTTAAACTATTTGCACTGACTGAAATATTCTTAAAACCATAATTCTCACTTCGATCATTTATGTTAACAGATATCCCAAAAGTTTTACCAACCGAATTAATTTTATTTTTTTGTCGCTGCGATGTCACTCATTGCACCCGTTAAGGAATCGCCATGTGATATATATTTGACCTTTTCAATTTTATTGCATTATTTATTCCAGATTCTATTTACTCTTTTTTTTTTTGCGTGATGCAACTGTGTCTACCAATACTGTTTAATTGCCTACTTGTAATTAATTAAATTAATTGACTAATGTCAGAAAATTGATAGCGCAAAAGAAAGAAAACAACGGAGGAAAAGAAAGCGACAAGAAACAAAAGTGATTAGTTTCGTGGAGCAAAGGATTTGTTTTGAATAAATAAAGCTTTTGGATTTTGAAGGAAATCTGGGAAATTACTACTGATATTTATTTTAGAATTTGAGGATAAAAAACAAATCAATCAAATCATTTTAGTCATTTGTATTCACAGTTATCTCAACCATTTTGTAATATCATATGTCCATATGATATGCCTTCAGTTAAAGGAAACAAAGGACGTATGTTAAATATGTTAGAATGTGTGCAAGAAAAAGATTGGAAAGATCTGTTGAAATCATTTAGCATTTATAAATTTAACATTATCAATTATAAAAGATGCAGCGATGTAATTTTCCATTCTTGCTAATATTCCCAAAAATTTGAAAATGTGGAAAAATTGAAGCGAAATATAATAAAATTACAAAAAGTGTCACAACTGCTTTGCATAAATTATTTATAACAATAAAATACAGAAGCTGAAAAGAAATGATTCAGTATAAAGGATTAAGCAGTAGTGCTATTATCATTTTATTATACATTATTATATATTCTATTATTATTGCTATACATACGTTATTATACGTAGACGTAAGTTATCAATACACGTAGTTTGCCACCCCCATCTGAATGAGAACTTATACATGCGATTATCGAACAATATCTAACAGAATTGATCGGTTGGCCTCTGTCACACTCTCCTACAATTTTCATTCAGCAAGTTCTGTTTCATTCATTTCGACAGAAGACGTTACCTCTTTTCAAACTTTTGAGTTTGGAATTAGATGATAAATTTGTAAATAAACTAATATATTTAGTATAAGCATTTACTTGAAGAAATATCTCCTTTGCGCATTTGTCAAATAGCAGCGATATTATTCTTTAGAAGCAACCGTCAATAAATTTGAATGTTTTTTAGAATTGGCAACAAATTATTCTCATTGACATGCATTTCATCTATTTATTCTTCTTTGTCTTCCAATTGAGCAATATTCGAAACCCAGTAAGTCCACATAAAGTTAAAAAAAAACAACATAACACCACAATACCATCGGCATTTAAATTTTTCACAGTGATTTTTCATTGATAATTTCATATCATTTAAGGTAGCGCAAACGGAACAAACAGAACCGTTGGATTTATCAATATCAAAAGTGAAAGAGGAAGGAAATAAATCGCAAGGCTTATCAGTGAAAAGAGTGAGTGATGAACGAATTAAACCGCGACGACTTGTTCCAATCGAAACACTGACGGAAGTAATTGAACCAGAAAAAGAAAGCACAGGAAAGAAACGGCGTTGTGATATATGTCAAAAGGAAATAACACATATGAAAAAACATGTGATGACTCATACCGGTGAAAAGCCGTATAGTTGTCCAGTATGCAAGAGAAATTTCACTCAATTCGGGCATAATCAAAAACATATGATGACTCATACTGGTGAAAAGCTGTACAGTTGTTCGATATGCAAAAAGAATTTCAGTCGGTCCGACAGTATGAAAGTACATATGGTGATTCATACCGGTGAAAAGCCTTACTGTTGTTCGATATGCAAAAAGAATTTCAGTCGATCCGACAGTATGAAAGCACATATGGTGATTCATACCGGTGAGAAGCCGTACAGTTGTTCGATATGCAAAAAGAATTTCACTCAGTCCAGCAGTATGAAAGCACATATGGTGGTTCATACCGGTGAGAAGCCGTACAGTTGTTCGATATGCAAAAAGAATTTCGGTGATCTCCATAATATGAAAAGACATATGACGACTCATGCTGGTGAAAAGCCGTACAGTTGTTCGATATGCAGAAAAGGTTTCATACATAAACACCATTTGCAGACTCACATGGTAATTCATGACATGAATAGACCTGTCTACCAGTGTACTGTATGCAGTAAAGATTTTCAGACTAAATCCGGTTTGAAATCGCACATGAAGAATCATTAAAACTTGCCCAATTTAAACAAAATAAATGCCCTCTGCTATTTCTGTTTTGATTTTTTATATTCTCTGTATCGATTTCATTTACAAGTAATCTTGCATGCTGTGTACGAAGAACTTGCGAATAAATATCGCTATTGTTATATTACTAATGAATGTAGTTGATCATATGTATTCCTCCCTTGATTATTATATAAATGAAATAGAAATAAATTTCTGGGGAAGAAAAGAATCTTCTTAATCATTTCATAAAGCTATATAATTATGCGATCTACAGCAGAGCGTCAAATTTATATCAGTGAATGACTAAATATTTGATCGGTAATCAACAATGTATTACAGATGAAAATCAGCAAGAGATTTGAGGATGCATATACAAAAGCATATCTAACTATTTGTACTGACTGAAATATTTTTAAAACCATTAACTGTCACTTTGATCATTTATGTTAACACCTGTCTCAAAAGTTACTTTTTTCCTCACCGCGATGTCTTAATTGTACCTGTTAAGAAATCACAACGTGACATATATTTCATTTCTTCCATCAATTCCATAAAGGAAGTTATTGATTAAAAAGACTTCCCATGAAAATGTAGAGGAGATGACTTAAATGCTTTATTAACCATATTATTACTTTAACTAAAATTAATACCACTTCTTCACTGAATATTAATTAATAATGATATTTTTACAATTAACTTAATCTTGCCATGACATTATTAATGCACCTAATAATTACACAGTATTAATGAATTTAATTAGTGATATAGGCTAAGGTAAAAAATATGTAGTCAATAAGAATGACAGAATTTTCTCGCGAAGTAACAGCAAACACTTCAAATCAAATTTTGAACTGAGCTACAGTTGCAGACGGAGATGTCTCTGGCGAAAGCGATATAATTCAGAATATTGCACAATTTGACTGTTTCAAAGTAGATACGACAATTCAACTGAAACATAAAAATATCACATACGTATGGAAAGCTTTATTGGTTGCATGTGGCTAGCATGTTTACCTTAAAAAAAAGAAATGTACTTAAAGTGAGCTGATGACTTTTACTAGGACTTCCTCGTTCAAGGGAAATAATTGCAATTCCCGATTAAAAGAATTTCCATCCCCAACAATTGTACTAACAAATACAGAAATGTCAAAACAGGTTTAAAGTTTTAAAAGTTAAAATTGGAAGGAGTAGGAATGGAAGAATGAGGGATCAATCCCTAAACCTAAAATACATTTAAAGTATTATTAAGCTGAACATAGCAAGAAAATTTGGAAGAAATATAAAGTCAATAAATAATCCGACAGTTTGATTTACTGATTTAAAAAAACAAAAAAAAAAAAAAATATTACAGAAGAAGAGAAACTGAACAAACGATTTAGTAAATAAAAGAATCCACCAAAGTACATAATTTCCATTCCAAATAACTACATTAAAAAATACAAAAATGTGCTAACTGTTATGCGTTCTAAAAGGATAAGCGTACCCTAATCTTGTTGAAAAAGCAAGATGACCAGTCACTGTCATCTTGCTTTTTCAACAGCATAGTATAGAGAATTCTTATTTCCTACAGGCTATCTCTCGGGAATTTCGTCTCTCTGAAATTCCTCTCGGAAATTCAACATCATGGAAGAGTGAAATATTTTCTGTATTTATTGCTTTCTATTCACAATTGCATGGATTTTAGAATTTCAGTTGAAAAAGGTATTTCATTCACATTCTTTTTTATATCCTTATTTATAAAATTTTTCATAAAAATTAATGGAACGTTCCTTTCAAGCAATCTAAATCATTTGGTTCTTGTTTTTTCATATTTGAATAAGTAATGCATTTTTCCTATTCTCGAAAAAAAAAGAAAAAAAAAGTAGTTCTATACATGGTCTTCTCTATTAGAGATTTTCTTATAGTTAAACATCTAATAATTTCCTACTGGATGTAAAAATGGGAATTAAAAAGACTGTGTAAAGGAAAATCGGATTACAGCGATTGGAAGTGATAGATATCAAATCAGAAAATTTTGTATGGTAATCAAAAAAGTTGAAAATTCAGCTGGTTAATGAGTTAGCATTTTGTTTATTTGCGGAGTATTTTAAATTATACTTTTCATATATTATTGATTTTAAATTCAGCGTTTTACTTTATTTCTAAAATTTGTGAACATTCTTTTTTTTCAATACTATTGCAGATTTGTCATCCCCGCACAGCATTTTATCTACTCCGGATTTGTGGATCAATTATATGATATACCGACCAATGGATTTGTCTCTTAGCTCCTTACGAAATAAATCTTCACTCAATATAATTTGTGCGATAAAATATTTGAATGTAAAATATTTGCATCACAATTTTTGTTTTTATTTCTACTCTTTGGAAAATTATGTTCTACTTATGTACGTTCTCTTAAACTAGTTGAGTAATCAATCTTTCCATATTCTCCGATGTAAATCAAGATTTTCTATTATACTAGATCAGTATTTGATGAGTTTTTTTTTGCGAAGTATTTAAAAGCATATTTCGGTTATCGTTATTTCCAGTAAATATTATTAAGCAAATGTCAGGAGTTTCCTCTCTCATCAATTGGTTTTAGAAATATAAAGTTGCCAGAAGTTGACATCAATTAGTGGACGAATACTGAATATATTTTCTATTTCCATTGCGTTTCTTATCCTATTATAGTTCAGATAACCAACTGATGTTACTTAGAATTAATTTTGAATAACCATCTGGATTATAAATCTTCTAAAGACATTTAAGAAATTTTTTGCGAAGAAATTATCTGCTATTTCTAATAGTGAAACATGTGAAGACAAGAAAATAACTCATCATTTTGTCATCTCCGGTTCAGTTTAAAGAACGTCCAAATAATCCAGACTAATTTGCAAATATTCAAAAACAGCTTACTCAAATTTCTAGATAATTAGTTAGCAGTTTATAGCCATAAACTTATTCAAGACTTTTTTTGTTATCCTTCGATATCCAAAACTATTTTCTCAAATTTGAAATCGTATTAGTCATTCCGGTGTGAAACAGTTCTTTCTGTTATCGTTGTATGAAGATTTCAGTCATGCAATTGTTTAATTCTGAGTTTTCCGAGCGACTTCGATTTTCCATTTTCCAGTTCCTATTTATAGTATAAATTCCACTTAATTATTTTCTTCATAATCGTCATTATTTTTCTCTGCAGAGATTTATAACCAAGGAATTCCTCTTTTGGATATTAAATTTATAAATCTCAAAGCCAATACAGTTTTGGTACTTTTTACCATCCTTGACCATTTGTTAAATTGTTCTTCGTGGATGAATTTGAAAAGTTTTATCGATAGAAAAAATGCCCTATAATCTTTTGATCATCGTTTTCTTTTTTTTTTTCTGGAAGATTTTTTAGGATCTCTTCATATTCTTCATGATCCTCGTTAACCTTGTATTCCCAGATTGGCCATTCTTCTTCTAACCATTTCCATCCTTCCCTTTCTACCATTATTTAAATTTTGTAAGCTGAAAAGGAGAAAGACATCTTGTAGTTGTGTTGGCAGAATTATTTTTGCTAAAAATAAACCGATATGAAATTTGGTCATTCCTATTTCTTCAACAACAGCATGTATTTCTATAAATGTAGAGAGTAATTTTAATTTTGAGATAGTCATAGTTTTGATGAATTAGTGAATAACAAAAAAAAAATTGATTATCGTGAATAAAGTACATCGAAGTGATACAAGGCAAGTATCAGAGAAAACGTAAATTTACATTGATTGTGACGAGTCAATCACAGTACGCTTATTGATTTGTTCTGATCGCTATTTTCAGTTTTGGACATAGTTTTTTAATTCTAGGGTATTCTTTTTTTTTTTTTTTTTTAATTCTAGGATAACTCAAAGATGATATATTTAGGTAACAAAAATTTTATTTTGAGTTTAATTAATCACATTTGCTGACATTATTGTAATGAACAGATAACCCATTGAATATATATCCATTCATCAATTATAGATTGTATTTTTCTATCAGATTGTTAACGAAAAAATGTGTGAATATGGAATTTTGTTGAAAAGAATAATTGTGTAGCAGTTAGATTTCAGTAAGACCTAAATTCTAAGATTGTTTTGTACAAAAGAAAACGTCTATGAATATTTAAACGAATAATTGATTGTTGATGTATGAAGATTTAAATTGATAATTAATTGCTGATGATAATCTTGCTAAGTATTATTGGAAATTATCATTGAAATGATATCACACTTAGAAAAGTTAAATAGTTATGTATCATTTACACATAAGAATTGCTGTCATAAAATTATACATTCCTAAGTGAATTGGATAAATTAGAATAATTTTTGCTTACGGTGATAAACATATTCGATCACCTCTATAAAGAAAAAAAAATTTTCAACAGGATTTTTTTTTTCGTCTTTATAAAAAGTATTTTTAGGATTTTCCCGATATACCATTGTACAAAATTCAATAAAATAGATTAGGATTGTTCAAGAAAGACGAAGTTATGATAAACCCAAATAAAATATGATATAATCATTATTTCATTAATATAATTAATTTAAAGTATTTAAAAATTTATTATTATTATTTTTAATATAATTATTAAAAACTTATTATCATTTTTAATATAATTAATTTAAAGTATTTAAAAACTTATAGTTTAAATAATAATGTATGAAAAATTAAAACATCTTTTGTATAATTTACATTTGATATAATTATTGGTGCCGTCAATATAACCTAATGATCTATCGTTTAAATCAACTTTTGCACTTTTTTAATAATTCTTAGCAGTAACTGATTGATTATTGATTATAATAGTCACAAATGCTGGTATAACAAAAATTTTTTTTTTACTTATTGAACACCTAAATTTAATTGTTCAAGCAGTAGTTATTACTAAAAAACTTATGTAAAACTGTCGAGAACAAGCTCGAAATTCCACTAGAAATAATCTTTGTACCGAACAATCGAATTTAGCAAAAGGTCAAATTTAAATCAATGTATTTATATTTAAGCAAATCATGTTAATCATTTATTGTAAGTTTTATTGTAATTCAAATTCCTTAATGACTCATAGATGGTAATGTGTTAACAAATTCCCATGCTAATCTGTCATATTATCTAATGCACATCTGTTCCAATCCTTATTTGTTATCTAATTCCGTTTACAAAAACTATCTTTCCATAGCCTTCTTGCTAGCTTCCATTTTTCAATCGCTTTATCTCTCCACCCTCAAATCATCCTATATAAGGGCAATTACCACTCAACCGGGGCAGTCTTCCCACTCTCCCCGTTGCTTAGCTCATCGTCCTCACTAAATTGTCCTACTACTGATTGCTTGTTTGGTTTAATTACCCAAGATTGAGCACTCGACTCAATTGTGCAAGTAAACCAACCCAATTCAAACCATTCACAACAAATTTATGGTGCCACGAGCCGGGAACATGTCATCCATCATCATCAGAACCGCAGACCAAACAAAACAAAGATTATGTGAAGTCCTCAACGAAATCAAGCGTCTGAACTTGGATTCGGTCGACCAAATGACAACAACCGACGAAACAATCCGTCTTCATCAGGAACGGAGAAGGATCACCCAAGAAAAAATCATGCATATCCAAATATACATAGAGGCGTTGGAATCGGTCAATACAGAGTGGAAACAATTCATCCAGCAGATTTCAGTCTCAACCAAAAGAAAAGAAGAAGATCGATACCTTCAGATAAACGACGATGAATCAGGTATTACCAACTTAATTTTACAAGCAAAACAAACTGTAGTCATTTTAAAAATGTATCAAAATGATTCGGAGTTCATATTACAACGGCTAAATCAGTCTATGGTAAGGGAGGAAACAACTCAACCCAAGGAACCCACACAAGCGGGTAAATACCCTACAGTAAATCTCCCACAACTACCACTGCCCACATTCAGTGGGAATCCAAGACGCTGGAGGGAATTCTGGAATAGCTTTGATACAGCTATACATCAACAAGCAATTCCCGATATCCA